GTGCTGACACCTGCACACAGCTCAGGCCTGAGGTGGAACCAGAATGTGTTCCATGACAGACTGGAAGCAGAGGTGATGGAAACCGATGGAAGAGAGAGAGATTAGGCCAAAGAGCCACACCACTCAGGAGACAGACTGAGAGACTTGGAATTGCTCAGCCTGGAGTAGAGAAGGCTGCAGGGAGACTTTAGAGCTCCTTCCAGTGCCTGAAAGGGCTCCACGAGAGCACGAGAGGGGCTTCGGACAAGGGCCTGGAGTGGCAACACACACTGGAAGGGCTTTCCACTGCCAGAGGTCAGGGTTTAGATGGGATTTGGGAATAAATCCTTCCCTGTGAGGGCAGGCAGGCCCTGGCACAGGGTGCCCAGAGCAGCTGTGGCTGGCCCTTCGCTGGAAGTGTCCAAGGCCAGGTTGGATGGGGCTTGGTGCAACCTGGGCTACTGTAAGGTGTCCATGCCCATGGCAGGGGGTGGGAATGAGCAGGCTTTAAAGCCTCTTCCATGCCAGACTCTTCTGTGGTTCCATGACTCTGCAGAGAGAGCAGCCCTGAGAAGGACTTGGGGCTGCTGGTGGACAAAAATCTGGAAATGAGCTGACAACATGCACTAACAACCCAGACAGCCACCCATGTCCTGGGATGCATCAAAATTAGGGCAACCAGAGGATCAGGCCCAGCTGGTTCGAGGTTGTGACAGGCAGGTCCTGCCTGATCTCCCTCAGTGCCACTGTGGCCTGGAAAGGCTGCATCGATGGGATGGGACTGATGGGCCGAGCCCAATGGTGCAAGGGCCAACAAGGCCCAGGTCTTGCTCTTGGCTCACAACAACCCCATGAAACACACCAGGCTTGGGACAGAGTGGCTGGAAAGCTGGAAAAGGACCAAGCGGTGGTGGTGACAGTGGCTGAACAAGAGCCCAGGTGTGCCCAGGTGGCAAGATGCCAATGGCACCTGTATTTTACTAGCCATGGTGTGGCTGGCAGGTCAAGAGAGATAATTCTTCCCCTACATTTGACTTTGGTGAGATTCTCACCTGGAGCACTGCATCCAGCTTGGAGCTAGTCAGTACAAATAAGACATGGAGCAGTTTGAGCAGGTGCAGAGAAGGGCCCTGGAGATGCTCCAAGGGCTGGAGGCCCTCTGCTCTGGAGCCAGGCTAAGCCAGCTGGGGGTGCTCAGTCTGCAGAAGAGAAGGCTCCAAGGAGAACTTACTGTGGTCTTTCAAAACTGAAAGGGAGGCAGTAAGAAGGATTGAGAGAGATTTTTTACCAAAGTCTGTAGTGATAGCATCTCACATTTGCTGAGGTTGGAAAGGCCTCCAAGACTACTGGATCCAACCACTAACACAGCACTGTCAGGTCCAACACTAAACCTTTTTTTTCACTTAAAAGCTGCGTTGTCTGTCAAGGGAATGGAACTTCTACCTGAGTTTTCCCTGTTCTGGATAACTGCGATATTTGTAAATGATGATTACTCAGTCTCACTTGTGGTACAGATCCAGTTTTTTTATTTTAGGCTATGGATTTGAATCTTGACTTTCTACAGTCTAGGACCTGCTTTACCTTTGCACAAAGGAATCACATCCCATCAGAAACGCCCATTTAATGTTTAAATACTTGTACAAAGCAAAAGAGCTGCAATGTATGATTCTAGTGATTAAATACTCGTGTAAGGACATCAAGGCAGGCTTCCCAGTAACATGTGTGGTCCTGGAGCATGGGATCAGGATCTTTGCCATGCATCAGGCAGTAAAGACAGTTGTACAAATACCGCAGGTGGGTGCTACAGTACTACCCTGCTGGCAATTGGGAAACGGCCTCAAGTTGTACCAGGGGAGGTTCAGATTGGATATTGGGAAAAAACCCTTTTGCAAAGGGCTGTGCAGCCCTGACACAGACTGCCCTGGGGAGATTTAACAGCTACTGGATGTGGCAATTAAGAGACATGCATTAGTGGTGGCTTTGGCAGTGCTGAGGGAGCAGTTGGACTCCACAGGCTCAGGGGGCTTTTCCACCTCAGTGATTCCTTGACTCTGTGAACGTAATAAGGGAAATACTAAAATACTTGTATCAACGCAACTAAACGATAGCAAAGAGCTGCCAGAATAGAAACGCAGGTAACTCGGGAGGGTTTAGAGACTGTCTGAGGAGACATACCCTAGAAATTACCATTGGCTCACAAAAAAAAATACATTTTATAGAGAAGATATGACCTGATGCAGCATGATCTCAAGTGATGGGGTTACAGTAAATGTAGAAGGATTTGGAAGGCACAGAGAGAACCTGAGAGTACTTTGCGACTCAGATCCATTTTACTATTTGCTTTTGAGCTCTTACGGTCCCCCGTAATTTGCCTGGGTCACCTGGCGCTTCCACCGGGCCCTGAGCGACAGAGTTCCCAAACTCCCAAACACCGCCCCAGCTTCCCCGGGCCGCCTGGAGCTCTCACGGTGCCCTGAACTCCACACGGGCCCCCGAGCTCTCATGGGCACTCCCAGCTCCCACAGGCCAACCCCGCCAGGCACTCACCCCCTTGCCCAGGCGCCTCTTGATCTCGTATCTGCGGCACACGAGCGGCTCCACCTCGGGTGGGCTCATGGCGGCGCCTCCCTGTCGGCTCCCGCTACCATGGAAACGGCCCGCGCGGCGCATGCGCACATGGCGCGAGCGCCGAGGGAGGCGGGGCGTGGGGCGGGGCTCGAGGGACAGCACAGGGGCAATGGCGGCGAGCTGTCACAGGGCAGCGTTAGGTGGGATTTGGGAAAGAATCCTTCCCTGTGAGG